AAGTAAACACAATGCAGCAGATCTAGGCTTTGGATCACCTGTCTGCCGTTTGTTAATGACCACTTCCAGCCTGCCTGCTGGGGAAACCATGAAATAACAGGACATGGGATCCCACATGGGTTCTTCTGCCACAAAGTGTGATGAAGATCCCATCACCCCCAGACTATTACCCCATCACCCTTTAAGGCAGAGGTAGGAACCTCATGGCCCTTCTAATACTGTTGGACTGCAGCTCCCATCAGTTCTACCTAATAAAGCCAAAAGAGAGGAATGCTGGCAGTTTCAATCCAACAACATCTGGAGGCCTGAATGATTCCCCTTCTGTCTTCAGTGCATCCCTAGAATGGAAAAGACCAGAGTCCAGGCATGGTCATCGCAACATACTGTGTCTGATCCTATGCTATTATAAACACCTGAAACAACAAAAAGAAAAAGAAAAAAAGAACAATGCAAAACAGGTCCACTGGGACTGAAAACAGCCAAGCTTAGTTTAGCATCAAAGCACAAAGTGATTTTGCATCAAAGCACAACGTGAAGGTCAGTGGGAAGAACTCCAAAGACTGAATAGTCATCTCCATGGCAAAGGGATGGCTTTAAGTCCTCCAGTCAGACAAGATCTTCTCTGCAATCTGTTTGATGAGGATCCCACTCACAACCATCCAGCTCAATCCTGATTGACTATCTCAGAAAACTTATGTAGGGATCTACACCAGCTGTACGGGTTCCTAGAAAGATGCTGCCAAGGTCAGGAAGATGGCAGTTCTCTAGCTCCATTCCCACCTTCACAAGGTACAACAAACAGAGCCCACTGGTACGTCAGGGACCTGTTCTTAACAAAAAGACAGATAGGTAAGAATATTGCATGTATGTGTTTCTGTGTAAAAATAACGAATCTAGCAGTGTGATCACCTATATGTTTTTATTCAAAGGTAAGTGGTTCAGTGGAACCTACCTCCAGAAAGTAAATGTAGGTTAAGTCTGGAAATTTGGCTTGGTTTGTTTTTTGTCTCCTTGGTTCTTGACAACAAACTGCAGATGAGGCACGATCCTTGTAAAGTGTACTGGGCAACTATTGCTATACCAGCCTCTTGTATTTACAAAACAGCAAAACTACATTCTGTGTTAGGATCTGTACATTAGTGCTAATTAAAAAAGGAATATTCAAGAGAGCCAAATCTTCAATATGTCTCAAAAATTTAAATTTGTAGGAACACATTGCATTTGCAACTGCTGCCTTTAAGAATCATTCTTTGTCTAACAAATGTGATATTATAATCAGTTCAAAGTATTACAGATCAAAACCAAACTGCATCATTTGTAGCACTTCTTTTCTCAATGGAAGCCAATAAGGGCATCATACTTCCACTTTTTATGCTTCAAATTAGTATGTTAAGGGAAACTTGTGATACTTTGTTGCATGGAAAAGGCATTCCACATGCCTCTGGAACAGGTGCCATTCCGCAGGGGAAACCACGCCACTTCTTATTTTATTTTCAAAAAACAATGCAAAAGAAGCAGCAATGACCACATTGAAAGCTGCTATAAATTACTGCACCAGAAAGCAAAATATCAGATTTATCCATGTAGCCTGCTTAGCTTACTTCCAATACAGCTATGGCCTGTTTAATCCCAATTATTGGTGTCTGCATCTTTCTCCCTTTCACAGCAAGCAAACTATCCACTTTGATTACAGAGTCTACTTATCTTACATATCTGTAGAAGAGAACTGTAATTTTAGAACAAGAAAGCAGCAATTCAAAGGCAGAAGTATTTTTGGTTCATTCTTCTATGATTTATATCCAGACCATTTTAAACTCATGGTTTACATCTATATATACACAGGCTACAGTCTTGGAAATCTTAGTTTAGGCCACGTATGGGTCCGTTTTGGCCTTCCATATGTTTTGGCTTCTAACTCTCACATGACCTACAGTAGGGGATTGTGGAAGGTATAATCCTAAATACCTAGAAGGTCAAATGTTCCCCATTCTTGAGTTAAGTGAGATTTTATTTTAACACCTCAATTGCAAGTGCCAAATAAACAAAAAGAGTTGAAGGCTTTCACGGCTGGCACCATAGGTTTTTCCTGTCAGCCACAGTTGCAGGTGAAACATCAGGAATACATTCTTCTAGAACACGGCCTCAGCCCAAAAAACCCACAAAAACCAAACAAAAAGAGCACAGTAGTTTCTCATTTTTGCTAGGTCTGTGTATGTATTTACAATTCAAGACACTGCTTGGCTATCCAGACCACATGGAAATAGTGTACTCAAGAAAATTCCTTGCAGCAACCCAAACATGTGAGAACTCTCCATGTATGTACCATACTAAACATGTAGAGCAGAGGTGGGGATTGTATAGCCTTCCAGATGTTGCTGGATGGCAACTCCCAGGGGGCCTAGCAGTGAGGAAAGCTAGGAATTGTTGTTCTACAACTTCTGGAATCTTCCATAACTCCAAATTCCAAATAGAGAATGCCTCTCAACTGAACCAGCAAGAGACTGTATGGCGTAGTGGCTGGAATAGTGGATTAGGATTGATTTGTTCAAATCCCCAGTCAGCTTTAAAGTTTACTGGGTGACAATGGGCCAACTGCTATATCTCAGCCTAATCTACCTCACAAAATTGTTGCGAGGATCAACTGGGAAAAGGAGCCATGTTAAAGAAAGGTGGGATATAAATGTAACAAATCAAATGAATGAAATGAATTTTTTTACCTGCAGCTCTGAATATCTATCATGGACAAACTATTTATACATCTATCACTGTAGCACCCATAATGTGAAAAATCAAACCAAAATAAAAGCATCTTGATTGACAAGCATTTTGTAACCAAGGGCACACAAGAAAGTGACAACATCTATATACTCTACATCAGTGATAGCGAACCTTTTAGAGATCAAGTGCCCAAAATGCAACCCAAAACCCACTTATTTATCCCAAATCACTACATCCCTCTGGCTTTCTAGTAATGAACTCTGTGCTGGGGCGACAGCATGCGTGCCCGAAGAGAGGGCTCTGAATGCCCTCTCTGGCACGTGTGCCATAGGTTCACCATCTTTCACTGCACCCACAAATTAATAGTTTTGGTTGGAGAAACATGAACATAGATACATGTGGGTTGTTTTGTTTTTTTTTTAATCTATTACTGATGCTTCAACAGTGTCCTGCAAGAGTGTAAGAACCTGGAAAGCTGCCTTATACTAGTGTTATGGCATGGGTCCACGTAGCTCAATATTGCCTACTTTAATTTGTACTTTTAGAAAAGAGTGTCTCTCAGATTTATCTATAGATGCCAATACTGGATCTAGAATCTTTTGTTGACCAAACATGCAGCCTACCACTGGGCTACAGCCTTACTCTGAAAGTTCCTCAAACCTTGCACTCCTCAGAATTGCTGCAGTCTTGTGAACCACTCTAGCAGTCTCAAACTGGAATTCAGGCATCATTTAATTTTCCCTTTGTATGAGCAAAAAATAAAATAAAAGGATTATTTGGGAGTTTTGATGACTCAGAACCACAAGACACCACAAACTGGACCATTCCGTCCTCTCTGTGGGAGATGCTGATTTCTTCCTTCCTTCTCTCTCAGCCTACTGTACCATCTCCAGTTACACAGAGGTGTGAGCTCATTCTGGCTTTCCACTTCATTAAGTAATATATCATTCTTCTTAACATAGCCACAGTAAAGCTATAAATCATGTAAGACAGAATGAGAATTAATGAAAGGGTCAGATAAGCATATAATTTTTAACTGGAACACATCTGAAAAAACCAAAATGTACAATATTTTACAGAAAATACTGCATTTTTAAGAAGCATGCTCAAGCAAGTGATGCCCTGTGGAGAGAGTTAAAGCAACCAATCAATTATATCTGTTTTCATAAAATAAAAATGGGAGAGGGGGAATCACAACCCACTTATTGTTCAGGACAGCACTTCTCCTGAGAGCCATAATTGAGTATTAGATTATGACTCTAGAGCAGGGCTCAGCAACATATTCTTACCTGGGGCTGGTCCGCTGGTCTCCAGGTCTTCCACGGGCCGGGGGGGGGGGAAATGGTGCCGTGCAGACAATATTATTAACTGCAAACAATATTAATAACTGCAGCTCAGATGGTATGTAAAGATTACTCAATAAAGTAAGTAAAGTAAGCGATGGCTTACTTTACTTACTCAATAAAGTAAGTAAAGTAAGGTTTAAAATCCTATCATTAGATGGCACAGACTGATTATAAAAACAGTTATGGGGGGGGGACATCCAAAGGGAGAAAAATAATTCAGGTTTTGCCTTAGGTTGGTCACATTCTGGGTTCTTACAAAAGCATGTTATTGTTCTTGATGCCCCAGTCTCACATGCTTTGGTAACACCCAGATCAGAATAATGTATGTGTACTACATTGGACTACCTTTAAAGATGGCCTGGAAATATCATTGTTGTGAGTGGAGTCATATTAAGGCAATTCAGATCATCTGACACATTTCTGTAACAACTACACTGATAGCCTGTTTGCTTCCAGGCCCAATTTAAAGTACTTTTATTAGTCTTTAATGTCTGAAATGGTTTGGGACCAGATTATTTGATGGAATACCAGCATCAATATGAACCTGAACAAGCTTAAAGAGTCATTTCTGTAACTCTGCTGTGGTCTGCCAGTCTCAGCTGTTTGACTGATGAACCACAAAAGCAAGACATTTTCTGTGGTGGGTTTGTATCTCTGGAATACACTCCCAAAGGAAATGTTTCATATTTAGGATAAAAACTCAAAGGTCTAAACCCTGCTGTTGGTCCTGACTTGGGTAGACCCCATTAAATCCATTGATTTTATCTATGTGTATGCTCACCATTTTCCAATTGGCTGAATGGGTCTACTCTAGCCTTCTAACCAATATTACATATTGTTATTTTCCCTTCAAGTTTTCAAGATTTGTTCAGAGGGGATTGTTGCCATTTCAGGCTGAGACTATGTGACTGGCCCAAGGTAACTCAGTGGGTTTCATGGCTGAGCTGGGAATCGAACTCAGGTCTCCAGAGTCATAGTCCAACACTCAAACCATTAAACCATGCTGGTTCTCACTTTATTATGTGTTCAGATGCATTTTTCTGATGAACATTAAATTGGCTTGTTGGCTTGCAATATACTTATAGGACTGAGGAAGACACAGACTTAAAATTGTGCTTTATTAGCCACAAATCCTTGACTAGTCTACATTTAAATTGTTCCTTTCATTGTCTCTTGTGTGGAAATTAAGGGGGAAAACCCATTCAACATTTTCATTGTGTCTTCAAGCAGCCCAGTGCCTAACACAGTTGCTGTCCTTCTCCCCTCTCAGAAATAAACACACCCTGAGCTCTGGGTGCCAGGCTTATCTGCCGCTGCTGCTGCTCCAAGGGAAACAGGAACTGTCCAGGAAGGATTCCAAAAGGTCCCCCACTTTGAGCATGGCTGAGAAGTGTGTATTTATATCTATATGGGTGTTTTTAGCTCAGGGTGACCAGACATGGTTCTCCTCCTTTTCATGACCTCTCCTCCATTTCAACCTCCTGTCCTGGAAAGATTCCAAAACATCCTCCATTTTGAGCAGGGCTGAGAAGGATGGATTTAATATTTATATGAGTGGCCTTTTTGTTTTGTTTTGAGCTTTTATTTGGTCAAGTTCTTCATTTTTAACTTGCATGTTTTCCCCTGGAAGCCCCACCCCCAGAGGTCCTGCCTCTGGAAATCCTGCCCCAAAGTCCCGCACCCGGCACCTGGTAACACCTGGTGCAGGAACACCACTGAGTTTGGGCACTCAGTCTCTAAAAGGTTCACCATCATTGGTATATGAGGAACATTCCTACAGTGATCTTGGAATAGAGGGTGCCTTCTTCTGGTGATCTGATGTAAGATGGTGGACTTGCCACCTGGAAGGAGTGCATATGCTACTTTCCTCCAGGTATGCTCTTCCTCCATATTTATAAGTATATTTGGAAGTTAAGAAAATATTATAAAATGTTAATTGTCCAGTGCTCTTCTTCTTCCAACTTCCAATACCTCCGGAACCTCTCATTGCTTACAAAAGTCAGCAGCATGCAACAATATTGTACATGATTGCATAAAAAAAGATGTGTGCTTTGCACAGCCACAACTGACTTGTAATACATTTATCAGGAACAAGTATACAACCTCTTCACGAAAGCTGTTTTAATGTTTTCCTGTATTACCGTGATGGTGTTGCCATACCACTACATCTAAAAACCTGCTGAGGATTTTGTGAAAACTGAACATCCCTGTTTGAATGTTCATGGGTGCTGAGAGCATGGCAAATAGGGCTTAGTACACCTCAAATACTGCTGACACCCAAATATCCCCAGCTGAGACTGAAAGTAAAGTAACTACTGTAATCTTGTGCATGAGGGCAGGGAGGAAAAGCAAGTGGTGGCACTACCTAAAAAGCCCTGAAGGAACTACATTTTCCTGCTGAGACTGATAGTGCAAAAGAAACATTGCATGAGCTTTGGGTGTCCCCATTAGACTATTCTGTCCAATTACAGCCTTTGGGCCTTTGCTAGCAGAGAAGTGGTGGATATGCAATGAGCACTTGCAAGCCATTTTCAAAGAAAGAAAGAAAGAAAGAAAGAAAGAAAGAAAGAAAGAAAAAGAGGCTCCACTCTTTTGATATTGAGTTTTGAAATGCTCATGCATCTCCCTACAACCATGTACCATCATATTCACTTGGGATGTAAATCTTTGCTGATTTTGTTCTCACAACCAAGAATAAAACATTTCAAAGATTTGTCCACACTGGTTGAGATTATAAACTTTTGCACATTTTTCTACTACAGCTAGCCCACCATATCCACAGATTCTACATCCACAGATTCAGCCAACCACGGCTTGAAAATATAAAAATCCAAAAAGCAAACCTTGATTTTGCCATTTTATATATAAAGGACACCATTTTACTACCCCCATTATATACAATGGGACTTGAGCATCCATGTATTTTGGTATCCACAGTGGGTCCTGGAACCAAACCCCAGTAGATGCCAAAGGCCTACTGCATCGCTTTTTAATTTGGGAAATTTTTCTGGCAAGAATTTATAGAGACTTTTTTGCACAAAATACAAGATGTTTGCACACATTACATTTTTGTGCAATTTGTTTCTATTCCTGCTGTTGATGAGAAAAGTAGAAAGAGAGAGAGAGAGAGAAAACATCTCACAGTAGCTGGTAGTTTTTCAGTAAGCTCTCTCAATGTGTGTTGAGATACCCTTTCTTGTTGAAGACCCCAAAAAGTGAATATTTTTATAACATACATACAGTGCCACAGAATTTGCCATAACTGTCACATGTTGAAGGTGACAACCTTCAACACACACAACCCTTATGTTTTCCCTTATGTATATGTGTTCCAGTGGTGCTACGCGGCATAGTGGTTTGAGTGTTGGACCATGAATCTTGTGACCAAGGATGATTCCCATTCAGCCATGAAACTCATTGCATGGCCTTGGGCATGTCACGCTCTCTCGGCCACAGAGGAAGCAATGGCAAACCTCCTCTGAACAAATCTTGCCAAGAAAACCCCATGATAGGTTTGCCTTGGCGTCACCATAAGTCAGAAATGACTTGAAAGCACAAGACACCCACACCCACAATGTGTTCCAGCATGAAGATCATGGTGAATGTACCACTGAAATGTTAAGGGAGGAAGGAAAGGGGAAGGGAAAAAAGTAAGGTTTTAAATGAGATTGTGGAAACAAAAATATTATAAAATGTGTGCATGTTCATCAAGAATAAAGACTCTTGTCTTTAAGGTGCACTGATTTATAGTTCAGTTCTTAAATGTACACCTGACTGAATCTGAAATGGAATAGGTCAGCGTAAATCTGTACTTTTCAAACTGAGGATCTTGCCAAAATCCACCACAGCCTATAGAAAATAAAACTGCACCAAGACACCAACAATTTGTATTTTTGTGTACAGATAAGACTTTCAGAATAAGAGCATCTGAGCAGATATGTTTGCTCATTTCAGACTGGAGGTTGTCTGCAAATTATAAAGAGATGAGGGAGGCTTTTAAAGATAAAAAAGTGACAAATCACCATCACCTCAAACTCAAAATACTTTGCAGTGAGCATTTAGCACACTAAGCTGAAAATAATATCATTTCTGCTGCAGTATTACCACAAACATCAGTCATTTGAACAAAGTGTCACCAAAACACAATTCCCAGAAATGACATCAAGTTTCTGGGCACCCCAGAGAGACCTCCTCTCTCCATGCAGAACAATTTTACAATAAAAGGCTTTCTTTGTCAGTTTACAGAGGGTATTCTTCCACACATAATGGAACTTTTCATCCAAAGTGATGGCAGATATAGCATATATACCTACCTTTGACAAAGTTGCATTGTTATTCTAATACCAGGTCCTGTTCTCCCAAATCAAATTTAAGACAGCTACAGCTGCAAAAATCATCTTGCAAGATAATAAATATGTCCCACCTTGCTCCCAGCACAGGACCCAAGCTGGACAATATTCATTCAGAGTTACCGTAATTAGAAAATTGACACTGAATGAATATTGGCCACCTTGAGTCCTAAACTGGGAGAAAGTTGATAATCGATTAATTAATATGGCATAATTTCCTCACACAACAAGGAAGCAAAAAGGACTCTTTATATTTACCTCCACTAATATGGAAAACTGGGTGTTTCGCTTTTCAGTCATCACAAATCGGGTACATATCCCTAGCACTGATCATCCTGTGCTTTTATATTATAATTTACCAGACTCTGCTTCCCAGCTCCTTCATATTTGGTGCTGAAAAATACAAAACAAAGCCCCTTCTATCACCTGCTTTCTGTCTCAGCATCCCTATTCTAACACTTGATCTGCAGTCAACAAAAAGCCACAAACTGTGGCTTAAAAAAAGCACGATGCAAACAAGCTATGTACTGGTGCAAATAGTCTATTCCAGGGGTAGGCAACCTTTTTGAGCCGAGGGCCGAGTTGCTGTCCCTCAGACAATTGCGGGGCCGAAACGCCAAAAATAAATAAATAAATAAATAAATAAATAAATAAATAAAATACAAAAAAATTTAAAAAAATTTAAAAATATGCATGCACCCACTCTCAGCCCCAGAAAAGCCATGGCAAACCCCCTGTGGAGATTTTGCCAAGAAAACCCCATGAACAAGTAATAACAACAATAATCAATATCATCATGGCAGGCGGCAGTGGCAGCGGACCGACCTGGGGCTGGTCCAAAGGTCTCGGGGGGCCACATCCAGGCCCCGGGCTTTAGGTTGCCTACCCCTGGTCTATTCACTCTCACTTAACTCCTCCCATCACACGAGCAAATACAACAAGCACAGAAGAATACTTTCACGTGATGTCCATACCCACAACTGTGCTTAAGTGCACCACAAAAAGCTAGAATCATAAACCAGCTGTAAATTAGCCTTTGTCTATAGTTTATGATTCTAGGTTTATTTGGGCACACAAACAAACTTGGTTAGGTACCACATGAAATTATCCCCTTCCTGGATTTGTTCATCCACTCATGTGAAGGCAGGAATAACTCCAGGTTGCATGCACCAGCACACACCTCATTCTCTTCATGGCATAAGCAATATCTTCCAGATTGTTACACATAAAGGGGGGTTGCAGACTGCCAGAAATAGTGCAAATTGAGTCCACGTTTAGGGTTAGGGTTAGGGAATCATGGGAACTGTAGTTTATTGTGGCACCAGAGCTCTCTGACAGAGAAGGCTCAATGTCTCAGAAAAAAATAATTCCCATGATTCCCTAGCACTAACCCTAACCCTAAAAGTGGACTCAATTTGCACTATTTCTGGCAGTCTGTAACCTCCCAAAGTCTCCGAATGCAAAAGCATCTTATTGGGCATAGAGGTTTCAGTGTATATTATTTTTATGTCCCAAATTATAGGCTATTGCATTGCTCTCCATGCCTATCATGCAAAGCATAAAATCAATAACTCATGACATATAAAAGCACTAAAAATACCTTAAAATAAAAACTGGGATACATGGGGGAAGGGTTTAAAGGATTACTGATACCCTTAC